TCTCTCTCTCTCTCTCTCTCTCTCTCTCACACACACACACACACACACACACACACACACCTTTCTTTTTGGTAGGCCTACTCACCTCCACCCTTTCTCTTCCCTAATGAAAACTCGTACAGTGGGTTCTGTTGTACTTTGTGTTTTCTTGCACCCAGTAAATAACGCTGACAAATAAAAAACACCTGCCCCAGCACAGATGATTCACAAAAGCTGCATCTCTGGAGATGCAACTTCAATCAACTTTCTTCCTCCCATATACTCTAAATCTCCAAGACCACTGCAGTTGTGGGATGGGGCAAGGAGTGAGTGACTGGGATCTCGGGTCGGGCAACACCAACAGGCCCTATTTGTGAGGGTCACAGCCTTTTCTGATTTCAAGGTGACAATGGCCAAGGCATACTCCGAGGATAGGGTCGAACTGCCTACAGTTACATTGACAGCATTCTTCAAGCACCACCTCATCTGCCTCTTTCCTGGACTGTCTGGTGCTATGAGACGATGGATGACCTCATGGATCTCAGCTTAATTTCTGCTTCTGACTGAACAGCTAAACATGAGACTCTCCCCATGGCCATAAGAATCCCCCACAGTCCCATTCACTGAGAGCCTGATGAGTGTGAGGATCGAGAGCAGGGAAGGAGGGAGTGGAGCAGATGAGTGCGTCTCTGAATCTCCAGCCCTGAGCTCAGTTGTCCTTCACCACAGTAACAGACAGGATGAGCTGTGCTCAGAGTGGGAAGCGGGTATGATGTTTAATCAGCAGTGTTTGACCCCAGGCCTTGGATGCTATCCTTGAGTCAACTCCCACCACTGCTGGCTCCCTGCTCCTCCTCCTCCCCTCCTCCTCCTCTTCCTCTTCTATCTCCTTCCTCCTACACCTTCGCTATCTCCCTCCCTTCCTCCATCCTTCCCTTGGCCCTTTTTCCCTCCCAGAATTTTGGGCTTCACATATTTTTCTCTTCTTTTCTTGTCTCTCCTTTCTGTTTCTCTTACTATTCTTTCTGCCATTACAGATTCCTTTATTTTTGTTTTATGTGCATGTCTATGTACCAGGTGCATGCCTGGTGCCTGCAGAGGTCAGAAGAGGACATCAGATGCCCTGGAACTAGAGTTATTGCTTACTGGTTGTGAGCCACCTTGTGGTGCTAGGAACTGAACCCCAGTTCTCTACAAGAGCAGCAAGTGCTCTTAACCACCAAGCCATCTTTCTAGCCCCATGCTATGATTAATTTAGCTGTTTCCTCACCGATGAGCATTCACTGTATGGTTCTGCAGGACATATCACTGGAAGAGAGATTGCTTGAAGAATAAAACTATTTAAGTATACAATGTCTGCATGCCATGCAAATATACTCTCTAAACTTATCAAACTTGCCAATCATATATGAAACTGTTCTTTTTGTAGTCTAACCACCAATAGCTATCATATTTTATATTTTCTTCAATATGAGGACACAATAACATTGAGAATATTTTTATTTTATTTTGTTTTGTTTTCAAGACAGAATCTCATTATATAGCTCTGGATGTCCTGGAACTCACATTGAGTATTATTTTAATTCTAGGAACTATGTTTACTGACAATTTTTTTCTTTTCTTTTCTTTTTTGGTTTTTCCAAGACAGGGTTTCTCTGCATAGCCCTGACTGTCCTGGAACTCACTCTGTAGACCAGGCTGTCCTAGAACTCCCAGACATCTGCCTGCCACTGCCTTACAAATGCTGGAACTAAAGGCATGCACCACTACTACCTGGCTTGTTGGGTTGTTCACAATGTTCTTATATGTGTTGATTATTAATATCCTGTTCTATATGCTATGAGTGTTTTCCCATTCTGTTAGGTTTCATTTTATAATATAAAACTTCTCCATATGATTTCTCCATATCAATCTGTCATTTCCTTTTATTTTTAATATTTTTGTATTATATTTATTTATTTGTGTTGGGGAGTGGGGGGACACATGCCCAGGTGCTTGTGTGGAGTCTGTCCTCTCCTTCCACCATGTGAGCCTGGGGAGCAAACTCGGGTCATCAGGTGTGGTATCGAGAGTCTTAATCTTACAAGCTTGATTTTCTTGTTGTTTTGAGACAAAGTCTGATTATGAGACTCTGACTGGCCTGGAACTAAGTGATCTGCAGCCTCTGCCTCCTGACTGCTGATATTGAAGACACAGCCCTCCACATCCTATTAGTTGTTGTTGTCATTGTTTTTGTTTTTTAGATTTATTAGGTTCTTTTACTTTTTCTTTTCTTTTCTTTTCTTTTCTTTTCTTTTCTTTTCTTTTCTTTTCTTTTCTTTTCTTTTCTTTTCTTTTGAGACAGGGTTTCTCTGTGTAGTTTTGGTGCCTGTCCTGGATCTCTCTCTGTAGACCAGGCTAGCCTCGAACTCACAGAGATCCGCCTGGCTCTACCTCCCAAGTACTGGGATTAAAGGCATGTGCCACCACCGCCCAGCAGATTTATTACTTTCATTTTGTGTGTATGATGCTTTACCTGCATGCATGTATATATGTGCATGACATGTATGTATGTGTATTACATACATGCTTGATGCCTTCCAGAAGGCATCAGACCCTGGGACTGGAGTTACAGGTGGTTGTGAGCTGCCATGTGCATGCTGGGAATCAAACCCAGGTCCTCCACCACAGCAGCAAGTGCTGTTTAGCCCCATTTGTTAGGTTTTGAGGTGTTTTTGTTCATTTGTTATTTTTGTTTGTTTGTTTTTGTTTTTTGAGACACAGTTTCTCTGTGTAGCTAGCCTGGAACTTGCTCTGTACACCAGGCTGGCATTGAACTCAGAGATCACCTGCCTCTGCCTCTGCTGGGATTAAAGTAGTCAGTACTGGAGTTACAGATAGTTGTGAGCTGCCATGTGGGTGCTAGGACTTGAACTCGGGACCTCTGGAAGTGCTCTTAACCATCACACCTGGCTTTTTACATGGATACCAGGGATCCAGACTCAGGTCCTCAGCCAACACTTACTGACAGCACCATTTCCCCAGCCCTGAGACTGAATTTTCTGTCTAAATTTCAGTAACTCCACAAAGTGCTGACTAGGTTCTGCTTTCAAGCAAAGCTGTTGAGGTGAAAAACAAACTCAGTTCCCCGCCCCCTCTCCAACTTCAATTCCTTTCCAGTTTCTGCCTCCCTCTGGCTACTTCCCAGTGCTTCCAGAGTATTTACTATATCTTGATTGGAACTCCAACCACTCAGCCACTGGTAAAAATGTAACCTATTTTGCCTGCTTGTTTGTCCTCTTGGGTTACAAACCAAGGCTGTCCTGGTACGCCTGATTATTAAGTGAGAGTTGAGCACTTCCAATGAAGCACTCATATGAAGACCCATGAGACTGGGTCCTGTCATCTCTCACGTCCAGCAGCAGACAGGGAGAGGCGGTCACCTAGTCCCAGTCAGGGAGCATCAAGATGACGCACTTCAGGCTTCACCTGTACAGTTTCACTGTGAGTTTTAACTATGAATTCAATTTCCTCAATAAACATAGGCCTCATCATGCCTGCCGTCTCTTAAGAGAGTCTTGATGGTTGGTGTCTTTCAAAGAACTTCATTTCAGCTAAGGGGTTGAAACTATAGTCTCAGACTTGTCAAATGTCCTTACCTGAACTCAGCATATCTTTCATTCCTGAAAGATACGTCTTCTCTCCTTTTATTCTGGGCCAGTTTGGCTAGAAATTGATGAATGCTAATGATGGAAGATCTGCTTGTATGTAGATCTGATCAATTTCAGTTCTCAGCTTTATTGACTTCCATTCATATTTTTTTCCCATCTACTTGATTTGCATTTATTTACCTTGATCCTCTTTTTCTCTTTGTTAAGTTGGGAGCTTAGATCATTAATATGTTTGTCTGTTTTGATGTCAATATTTGATGCCATGAGCTTGATCTAACTACCTCATAGGCTGTATGTTACTTATATTTCTTGTTGTTGGGGAAAAATACCTGACAAGAAGCAACATTTTTTAATTGAAAAACCATCTTCATCATACAATATATCCTGATCATGCTTTTCCCCTCCTCCTCTTCCCAGATCCTTCCCACCTCCCCACTCACCTAGCTCCATGCCCTTTCCTTCTCTCTCTTTAGAATACAAACAGGCAAACAAATTCTAAAAAAAACAAATAGTGCCCCTTAAGAAAGAAATACACACATAAAACAAACCTAAAACCCTCAAAAACACAACCAGAAATCATAATATACAAGCAAAAGACCAATAAGATAAAACAAACACACAAAAGCCCAAAGCAATATGAGACAAAAAGTCCACAAAAACACCGTGAAGTCCATTTTGTGTTGGCCATCTGCTGCTGGGTACGTGGACCACCCTGAAGTGTGGTTAGTAGACTCAGTGAGATTCCAATCAAGAAAACCAATTTTTTTTTCCTTTGTAAGAGGGTATCAACTGCATTCCTGGGTTAGGAATGGGAGCCCCTGTCCACGTCCCCCTCTCAACACTGGAACCCTGTCTGACTTGAACCTGTGCAGACCCTGTGCATGCTGCCACAGTCTCTGTGAGTTCCTATGTGTGTCAGTCCGCTGTGTCTGGAAGATCATTTCCTTGGAGTCATCGATCCCCTCTGGCGCTTACAGTAACCACCTCCTCTTCACATA